AGGTACCCCACTCACTCCACAGACAGCCTGGAGCTGCTGTGGCATCCCAGGTACGGCCGATGGGGGTGGGGGGGACAGCAGGAGGTTGGCTCCAGGGCATGTCTGGCCCCTCTTGCCCAATCCTGCCCTGCCAGCCACCTTCTAATTAATTTCCTTTCAATGTGCATGAATCCATGCACCGGGTCACTAGTAAACTATAAAATGCCCCCAACTCTTACGTCTTCCCAACTTCTACCTACAAAGCCACATGTAATGACATTTACATGATGCAGTTTCTAAAGACACACGAACGTGGGTGCTAATCCACCCAGAAGTGCCGTCGGCCCGCTCACTCCCACAGGCTGGTTCTCCTCTGACTGCCTCTGATGGACAGCCCCACCCAGAGCTGGGGCGGGGAGGTCACGGAAGGTCCTTTCAGTAACACACAGCCTGTCCGCCTGGCACCCGGTGACCCATCTAGCAAAGGAGCATCATTTAGAATCGGTACATACGTCCTTTCCGGTGCTCGACTAAGCCCACAGCCTGCTTTGCGGAACACTTGGCAAACCAATTGTCCCCCAGTAAAACAGTGACTTCATTAGTATGGACGAGTTTTCCTGGCATGAAGGCAAAAGGGCCAAATGGTACCTATTTAAAAAATAAAGTAATAGCATTAAGAACACTGGAAAACACATTTTAAGAAACACTAAGCATTAAAAGCTCTGCGCTGAGGTCTTTTAGCTGTACACTAAGAAAAATAAAATGTCAACGTCACAGAAATGTAACACTCTATTAAAGTTTCACCAGGAAAACCTTTAGGAGTTTGTTTTCGGTGAATAAATCAACAGGGGAAGACGGCACATTTACATACACCTCTCAGAGAAATCAGCATTGTCTCGAAGTTGTCATCCACCTGTTTTTTGTTCATTTATACTTTTTGTTCATTCATAAATCTAAATGAAACAAACTTGTAATGAAATATTAATACCTTTGATTAAAAAAACAAAATTATTTCCAATAAAATAGCCATTTATTTTTGCAAA